CACGCTGCCATTAACACAGTGATAGCACTGCTGTGTGTGACTGTGCTTGTGTGTGTGTGTGTGTGACAGAGATAGAGCTATTTTTAATGAGTGTACCCAGTAGAGTTTAAGGGCATAAAACCCCCTTTAGACTGTGCTGAGCTGATTTACCTTAAACCACATCCTCTTTCCACCTCACATTAACACGCATTTGGTTTCACTTAAAACACTTATTTTCTTTCTTCTTAAATCAAACTGCGATTTGCTTCTGAGTTAATATCAAAATTACTGCTGAGAGCACATTTGTTTGTGTGTGCCTGTGTGTGTGTTTGCAGGGCAATAAATAAGTGGAAAATTGCCCCTGTTTTTACAACTCCATATTACATTAGACGGTAACAGAGACGGGGGGAGACGAGCAGCTCGGATGAGATAACAGATGAACACAGTGGAAAACACATGCACAGATGTAGCATGTGACTGAGGTTGCACACCCACACATCCAAAACTACACACACACTCATGAGCACATCTGAAACCATAACCGTGTCTTAATTGCACCAATTTGTACAATTTATTTGACAATGATGTGTTTAACGGTGTAACACGACCATTAGCTACAGAAACAGGTAGGTGTGATGGTCTCACTGAAGAGGAGAGGCTTCAGTTGTTATATGATCCAGATGAGACGGACTGTTCAGCCTCAAATCAAAATAAATATTTCTCCTCTTACTTGTAGTGCTTCGTATCAATCTAGATTGTTTTGGAGTGAGTTGCAGAGTGTTGGAAATATTGGCTGTAGAGATGTCTGTCCTTTCTCCAGCATAATGGAACTAGATGTCACTCAGCTTGTGGTGCTCACAGCCCCAAAAAGTACATTTGAAAAACTCAACAGCAATGTCTCTTTCCAGAAATCATGACCTGGTTACTCAAGATGATCCACAGACCTTGTTGTGAGCAGTTTCATGAAGGAACTGTTTTCCTTCTGCCAAACTACAACCGCAAACTGTATCACTGCGCCGAAGGATGTGTGCATCTACTCATGGATGAGAAGCTCATGCTTGAGACAGCGGGAGATGTAAACATAAAAAGCATTCTCTTTGGCTGTGCTGTAAAGTTGAGGTGTGCATTAGTATTAGTGTAGTTCTGCAGAAAGAAACAACCAACAACCAACTTTAGAAGGAAGCGTGCATCTACTGCTAGCTTACCTAAGCTAGCTAACATTACAGCTCAGATGAGGAGGAAGCCTTCAAGGTTTACATCTTGAAATTCACAAGCATGAGCCTCTTGTCCATGAGTAGATGCACACTTCCTTCTGCGCAGTGATACGATTAGCAGGTGCTGTTCAGTGTAGAAACTGTTTTCTTTCTACTGTATCCTAACTGCCAACTGTATCACTGTGCAGAAGGAAGTGTGCATCTACTCATGGATGAGAGGCTCATGCTCAGGACAGCGGGAGATGTAAATATTAACAGCTTCCTCCTCCACTGAGCTATAACGTTAGCTGGCTCCTGTGAGCTAGCAGTAGATAGCCGCTTCGTCTGCTGGTGATACAGTTGGTGGGTGTAGTTCGCTAAAAAGAAAACAGTTCCTACATGAAAATGCTCACAACAAGGTCTGTGGATTATCTTGAGTAACTGGGTCATGAGTTCCAGAAAGTGACATTGCTGTTGAGTTTTTCAAATGTATTTTTTGGAGCTTGAGCACCACAAGCTGAGTGACATCTAGTTCCATTATATTGGAGAGAAGGCAGACATCTCTATGATTTTGGGGTGAACTCTCTTTAAGCTTCGTCTTTGTCTCTTAATATCATGATTCAGGGGTATATTTGTCCTTTATCTCTGCTGACTCAAGGTGTTTTAAGGAAAGAAAGTCTTTTTGTGACAGATTTTATTTGTAAATCTTGAGAGAAGTAAAAGTTCTTTGTTTGCACATCACCACTGTCCTGTGAGAACCATGTTTCTCCAAAACATTATTTCATGAGCTAAGCTGTTGTCAGCTTTGTGATGATACATTTTTCTGATAATCCAGTGGGTTTTTAAATAGTTTATATAGCTTAGGAAGTCGGATCATTTTCAGACTGTGTCATATGGCTAGCTGTGTTGTGGATGCTATCTCACCTCTTTCTATTGTGGAAGTTTTCTTACGTTTTTTTTTCACATTTTTCCATAGATATTAGAGAAACTAGTCCTAAATGATGTGTGCTGATAATATTGTATCAAACCCACAACACAAATAACACCCCTGGTAATAGCAACAGTTTTTGTTAGAATAAAAACAAGTTACATTTTTGAGTTAGGAGCATTCGTTGGTGGGATAAAGGTAACATATGTACATTCATTCTCACAGTGAACACCCTTTGGATATGATCTCTATATGTATGTTTTTGTGCCATTGATGTATCAAGAGAGCAGTGGCATTTTCAAACACCAGCAGAGAACAGATCTGGAAGCATAAAAATGATGAGAGAACAGGGCAGAAGTAAAGGAAAGAAGGAGAACGGAGAGGACAGGTGTGATTCCCACTGAGTTTTCGGTACAGACCTCTGAGGAGAAGCAGCGGAGGAAAAGTAGAAACAAAAGTAAGAAATCACTGAGACGTACAGAGGGGAGCAGCAGCATCGCTCCTGTGTGTGTTCAACCTGAATCCCAAATCAACAGGCCTGTTAAAACATAAGCGATCAGGGAGCAGCTCTGCGTTTTGTCACTTTAGAAATGTGGCATAAGTGCAACTGATGCTTTGATTTTATTCCTTGTAGCGTTGCCAGTTGTAAAGTGCTTTATTTTTCTTGCCAACTTTAAAGTGCTCTTGTCTGGGCTATCGTATTAGGCTTTGCATAAAATAAACATGATTCAAACTGCACAAAGTCCACTGAGACAAATATCACACCTACTCTGTGATGTCCTCTAACCAGTAATGTCCTACTTGTCTCGTCTCTTAGCCTCCATTTTTGGCATTTATGTGCTGCACTTGCCACAGTTCACCTGTCTATCAAACAGTGTGTGCATCAGTGTTTTTCCTGAGTTTTCTGTTATTGAACTGTTGGTTTCTGCAGAGGGTGCTGTTCACTGTGTCCCAATTCTATACCACATACTAAATGTATACAGTTACTACACTAATCTAATTCTTTTGCAGTTGTTACACAAGAGATGAACACTATTAATTGTTTTACACTGACAGGGAATTATACAATACATGCACTGCAACTTTAGCATAGCACTAATTGGACTTAAGGGGGCCTATGTGCTCATTAACAGGTTCAGGCCCCCCTCCCGAAAAAGCAAAGTCTGCTCTGATTGGTCAGCATATCTGAGTCTTTTGTATCACTAATGAAAGCTTCTTAACCAAAATCTTTACAATCTAACAAGTTCAAGATGGAACCTAATCCAAAATAATCCAAAAATATTAACAACATCAGTAACCATGATTACTGGTTTCCCTGACGTTAGCATGTAGCTACATGTAGCAGGGTACTTGCAGCCGGCTGAGTGTAGCGGAACTTTACTCTGAAAAATGACCCCCAAAAATTTTCTAAACCAAAATCTTCACAACCATCCCAAATCAGGGAAATATTAACAACATTAACTACCAATATTAAAGTTTTCTCTGATGTCAGCACATAGCTACATGTAGCAGGGTACTTGTCGCTGGGGAATGACTTTAAAGGAGTAGAGCTACACTTTCTATTGTGATATATACATATATATATATATATATATATATATATATATATAAAGCTTCTAAACCAATATCCTAACAACCTAACATGTTCCAGCAGGAATATGATCCAAAATCAGGGGGATATTAGCAAAACTGGCAACCAAGATTACAGGTTGCCCTGATGTTAACATGTAGCTACATGTAGCAGGGTACTTGCAGCCGACTGAGTGTAGCGGAACTTTACACTGTGAAAAATGCCCCCCAAAAATCTTCTAAACCAAAATCTTCACAACTGGATATGTCTAAGTCAGGAAGATATTAACAACATTAACTACCAATGTTAAAGGTTTCTCTGATGTTAGCACATAGCTACATGTAGCAATGTACTTGTCGCTGGGGAATGACTGTAACGGAGTAAAGCTACACTTTCTTTTGTGAAAAATCTCCAAAAACAGCTTCTAAACCAATATCTTTACAATCTAACATATTCCAGCAGGAATATGATCCAAAATCAGGGGGATATTAGCAACACTGGCAACCAAGATTACAGGTTTCCCTGACATTAGCATGTAGCTACATGTAGCAGTGTATGTAATGCAAACACCTGCAGTAATCTTAAATGCTATACTGTAGGCATCTGGACTTGCTTGTTGCAGCCCTGTGTCCTTTCATGGTGGAACCCAAGCATATGCTGTTAGGAATTAACCTGCGCTGCCTCCATTTCAAATTTAAACGCAGGTGGTTCCTTGAACCAGCCACACTACAAGTAAGAGGATTGGTCGGCATTCTTCCCAAACTGATGAGCAACATGTTGGTGAAGGATCTCAGTCATTCAGGTCATGGTAATCTTAAGTGCTATATCGTAGGCAACTGGACTTGCTCAAGCAGTAGTGTGCCTGGAGCAGATATAAAGAAATAATTCACAAGCTGACGTCAGCTTGTCTCTGAAGTATAAAAAAAAACCTTTGGAAAAGAGTATTCGGAAGCCTGAGGGGTTTCTTTTAAGTATGTTTGCCTCATTATATGAAACTTAACCCATGTTTAATATGAACATCTGACAGTACATCATTATATAGCTTTCTAAGATGTTTCTCCAGCAACCATAGTAAGTTTGATCTTTCTAGCTATGATTAGCTCCTCTATTATCTTTGTGCAGTGCATTGAGGTGGAAATTTAGAGTTTTTAAAGTATGTTCTTCTTGTTGGAAAAACAACAACACAGCAGCTACATGAACTGACTACAGTGTGATTAAATCTTGTGTTGTATTGATGGGTGATAAAAAGTTAAATCTGTGATTAGCCTGTTGATTCAGGATTCTCCAAAACCCCATGAAGTGCATTCTCAGTGCTGATTGGCTGTCACACCTGTCCGTTCCTTCCCGCTGCGTCTCCATTCGGGGGTTTCAAGCACAACGTAGAAGGAGGACTGCTTATTGTACTCCTCCCGGTCTAAGATCCTAACGGTTAGGGTCTTCCTGTATGGGACAAACACGTACACACACACATAGAGGGAGGTGGTGAATGCATGCATGGTAAACAAACATCATGGCAAGGTATGTACACAAAACACACACACAACACACACACACACACACGAGGTGGAGCAGCGGATGTGGTGAGATGAGGTGATCCACAACCTGCTGCATGTTCACCGTCATAGTGAGGACACATCAGGAGGTAGGAGCAAATCAAGATCTCCTCCTGTGTGCCTACACGTGTTGAGAACATGCAGCCTCTGCAATGTGGCGGACACTCTGGGGTCGAGGGATCAACGTTCAGGAGGCTCACCCCCTTCCTGACCTTTGGTGTCGTTGCTCTCCACCAGGCGAGGCTCTCCGATCTCTACGTAGAAGGTTTTGTTCTTCTCGTACTCCTCATCGTCGATTATTTTCACCTTGATGGTTTTACTGAGGAAGGGGAGGAAGGAAGAGAAGAGGAGAAGGAAGAAAAGTCAGGAAAGGACAGGCTGGAAACTGGAAAGCTAAGAGGAAACAGAAAAGAGCAGCACTTTGTTTTCCCACAGGCACCTAAACTTTCAAGACCTCCAACATTTTACCTTTAATACTGATAAAACTTTATATTTCCACCTCATCTAACCATAACATCTGATGGAAGATTAATCTTGTGTGGTATCGGAGCAGCTCACACTAGTCTGACAAGACTGATCTGATAAACTCCTCACCCTGCCAGCCTGCGGTCCTGATCAAAGCTCAATTCAATCTCCCGCTCCAGCCTGATATCAGCCTAAAAAAAAAAACCTTTGTCACTTGGATGCTAAAAGCTAAATGAAGTCTGGCAGTGGCTGGAGAGTTTACCAGCTCTATTAGTCACTTTGGCAGGTGAACAATCGTGAATCACGATGATAAATTTGGCTCGTGCAATCAAGAAGCTTTCAGGATCCAGCGGCAGGTTTCCAATTTCACTATTTTACACATGATTTGCTTCCCACTTCTATGAGATTATTTGACGATCTAATCCAATGCAGTGGCAATTGTAGAAGTCTGAATGTGTGTAATTTCTAAATGGCTTATTCTACATTTATAAAGCAAAAGATGCCTGTGGGAAACTGGGACAATTTGCAGTCAATTCAGCCGATCCAAGCACTCGGTTTTCATTAAGATCTCCAATGAAGGGTTGCAGTCAAAGGTTGTGATGTTCAGACTGTAAGAAATAACTAAAAATGAGCGCTTTAGCAAATTAATTGTGGATTCTTTTCATATTTTTGGCTGAATTCACAGCAAACTGATGCATACCGCAATCCTCAAAGGTGAACAGACCAGCATATAGACACGTCCGAGACATTAGAAGAATAGGAAATCATCCAAGAGCATGCGCAATGAAAGGAGAGACTGAGCAGGAAAATAACAATGAAGAAGGAGTGAGTATATTTAACAGAAGGAAACTGCTGCTGCTGCAATTAACACCTTCAATTAACACCTTTAACAAGACACATGTAAGACACCAATATAACCAGCTCGTTTGTGATTGAAGCCAAGAGAAAGTGCTCAGGAATCAGTACAATAGTACACCGAACATGCCACAACTATAAGCAACATCACATCTGGTGCAACAACTTGCTGAAATATATTACAAAAAAGTCAGTGCCAGACGTACAGATAGTTCTGTCGTATCCAAACCATTCAATGTCTGATTTAGTAAACAGCAATAAAGCAGCCTGCATTCTGCCGATGACCAACGACCAGCCAATGATTTCTCTCTCTGAGTTTTCACCAATACTTCAGCCGCCAAGTGTTGCTCCTATTCTTGACCAACCAAATGCTCCAGTAAGACTCAGCAGAGTGTGTGTGACTATGCTGTGGCACTTGGCCTCAGTCATGTTTGGCAGGAAAGCTAATATCTGAGGTCACAGAGCTATGGAGCGGTACACAGTGTGTGTATGTGTGAGTGCTTGTGGGCGTATGTGTGAATGTGTGTGTTTATCTGTGTTTCCAGTCTGGAACAAAACCCGTATCCTGATCCAAATCCACTACAGGCAATAACAAAGACATCTGAGAGAATACTCATAATCTGGCCTATAGGGTGTGAAATGGGAACACACACATACACTCACACTTATATAAGCCATTATCGCTGATCGCAGGCCTGCAACCTGTTTTAAATCTTCAGCCAGCACTGTGTTAGCAGCATTACATTGATCTAGCATACAGTCTGCACTGATGGAAGAAGTCTGATCTAAATAAAAGTTGCAACACATCACTATAAAGTACTAAAAGTGGAGATGTAATATTAGCGTAAAGGTACAGTGTGTAAGATTTAGGGGGATTTAGTGGAGTCTAGTGGTGAGGGTTGTAGACTGCAACCAGCTTAAACAAGTCCCGGTTAGTATTCCTTCAGTGCTGACTATCCTCAGAGGTCTCTTTCTCTCCAAAACAAACGGACCAGATGATTAAAACCAGTGGAAACACTAAGTAAATGAGTGTGACGTTACAAATCAGTGTTTCTCTGACACTGTGTGGCACGTCAGAGACAGGCAGCTAACCTAGCACCTGCTAATGTGCAATCTCCTGTTTTCTCTGGTGACTCAAGATCCAGATATTCAGGTTTTACTGGGAGCTGAATTATCCATAGAGGGTGTCTGACTGTGTGAGGGTGCTTTCACACCTGCTCTGTTTGGTTCGGTTCAATCGTACTCAAGTTCGTTTGCCCCCAGTTTGTTTGGGCAGATGTGAACACAACAGTCACACTCGGGTGTGCACAAAACAACCAGACAACGAGACCGTGGTCTTCGTCCGAACTCTGGCGCGGTTCATTTGTGGTGAGAACGTGTTCCGACCTGAATCTGAACCAACTGCAGTCACATGACACATTGTTTGGGTTAAACATGAGCATGTTACAGTCCTGGAGGATTATTAATGTGCACCTCCTCCTGTACTGCCTTAAGCAGCACATCAGCACATCCAATGCATCAAAACATTGTTTTCTAGTTGGAGCCGCGCCTCGTTTTCAAACTGTATGGTTTGACTAAAATGAACAATGACAGCAATATAGTCCACGATGAGCAGCGCTAAAATCATCCTGCGTAGTTGTCCCTCCATTGTGACATTAGAAAGTGTCACATCTATCTTGCAAGTGTACTCTTCTTCAACGTTTTGTTTACTTCCTGGATTTTTCCCGCATGGAAATTCTGACCGATCAAGAGCAGCTTTCTCACACAAGGCATTTGATCTGGTCCGCTTGTAAATGCTGCCATGAGAACATGAACCACCTCTAGGCAATTATGCGACTTTGGAACAAAATGAGTCCCTGATTTAGACCAAAGCAAGACAACTCTAGGTCTGAAAGCACCCTTACACACAGACCCAGTGATTTAAACTGGTAAAACACAGAATAAAGCAGGTTCACAAAAAAATTAACAGAGTTGAAGTACAAGAATTTTCCTCTGAAATGATATGGAAATACTCAAGTACCTAAAAAGTGCATGACTAAATCAACATTTGAACATCCTACCACCAACAGCGCTGGCATCCCCACCATAGCTCACTGACGACAGAAGACATGAAGCAGCCTACTAATCATCTAATTAATCACAATAGCAAATGGGTCAATCTGCCAGCTGCACAACACCAACACAGCGGAGGGCAAACCATTAAAATATCATATGCAAACAACCACACACACACATTCACCAGGGGTTAACTCATTACGCCAGAGGGATTAGTTCATTTATCACTGTCCTGTAAGAGCAGACAGAGACTGTTCACCTTCTGGCATTCAGACTGCCACTTAACACTCACAGCTGAAGCAGCTCAAGTGATGGAGTAAAACCCTCCCCTGCCTCAAGGTGGAGCCCTGGAGCAAGGCACTTAACCTACCTACTGATGAAGTGGAAGTGCTCAGGGAGGAGCAGTGTTTGCAGTCCCAGTGGGGAAATCACTGCTGCTACGACTACTTCAATTAATACAAGGCTTATTATGAGTGGTGCAGCGTTTTACAGCACAAAGTCTGTGTTTCATTGAGCTTTACCAACTTGTTGACTGGCTCCTTCTCTTATAGAGGGTGTCCTCCCTGAGCAGCTGCACCGTCCTCGTCAATTTGCATCCACTTTGCTATCAAAGCTCTCATTAAAAGTCCACAGCAGTTAACACACATCACAGACGAAGAGGATTTTGGGCTCTATTTCCTTTTAAAAAAACAAAAACATTTCTTTCCAATTAGCAATGTTTTTGCATCATTAACCTAATCTCTTAATGCCTTTGTAAACCGTTTTACCACTGATGACTTTCTGATGTGTGAAACTTAAAAGACTTGCTCTCTGGAAAGATAATAAAAATTGTGATTTAACGTCATTTATTACCATAAAAATAAGCAAATGAATCAGTTTTACAGAGGCAGACTGGGGGACTCCTTATTTCCCCCCAGTTCAGGAATGAGGACTCCTCTGCTGAAGCTGGCAAACCTCACACACGACCATCGCGCTGCAAACACACACACATATTCTCATATACTTGAGACAGAGCATCAATGCAGAAATAATTCATCCACCTCCATCGTCTTTATCTGCACCCCTCTTTCTTGTTTCACACACTTCCCTCCACATGACAAACATGCTGGCTGTACAGTACGCTGTCCCATTGCCATGGCAACGCAATGTTTGGGTAACCAACAGGGGTGGGGAAGATTGTTTCCAGACCAATGATGTGTGTGTGTGAGTGCATACTGACAAGTGAGTGTGTTTGAGAGAGAGAGAAAGAGGTCTCACACTGTACACACACTGCCCTGATTTGTTTGTGTGTGTGTGTATAATAATGTGTGTGTTGGAGACTTTGATATTACACAGTGACCCGAGTGTTTGTAGCGAGCCGTGTCTCTCTGTGTGTCTGTATTTGATCACATGTTAATCTACAAACTGTATATACAGTAATAGCAGTGTGAACAAATGCTTCTCTTGCTCTGTGTGTGTGTGTGTGTGTGTGTGTGTGTGTGTGTGTGCCAGGTGATGGTTCAGTAAGAATAA